TTATTAAACACTAATGTACAACAATCTTTGTAAATAATACTCAATATGAGTTTCTTAATACAGACCATCATCCGAAGAAAACGAGACGGAATATAAGTTCTAAGTACGGTCATACTCTTACCTTGAACCGCATTTTTCATAACTTTCCCATCATTTCCGGGAAAAATGACAATTACATTTTTTGTTCCTTAGTGCGTAGAATCATGCTGTAAAAAAATTTTTCGTTCCGGCAGTATGCCAAAATTGGCCTTTTTTTAACATCATCCTTTGATCATGCAGAATGGAATTTTGCGTAATGTTTCATGTGTTTCTTCTCAGTGCTATACACATGTAAATAAGTAGGTACATATATCATTGTCACAATTTCAAATTTAACATTAGGAAATCCTATCCAGGATAAAACGAGTAATCTTTGGATTTCACATGTCGTAAATAATAATAAGTATGTTTAAAGTATATTTTATAATTCTGTACTATTTCCTTCATAAGAAACTTTAATGAATATACAAGTGTAAACATTTGAACACTACAAACATGTACGTAAATATTTTCGTTTTACTATTATTCTGAAAACTATATTGATAATCAGAAGTGCTATATACAATGCATCATAAAATAATGAGACATAAAACAGTAAAAATATTTGATATGCTTTGCAAGATCATTTTTTTTCATTCTTTTTATACCAACTGGAAAAATTGGAAACTTGATTTGCATAAGAAGAAATAGAACTATCGGAAGTAAAGTTTGTGGAAAATTAAGAATATCGTAATATGTTTTTTAAAGTTGGAATAAAAAATTGACTTTCAATTAATAAATGATTTTTTACAAGATTTTTTCTACTTGAAAATTCGTAATGTTCTTTTAAGGTTCCTACGACATACCGTAATTTTTTAACAAATTTTTTACTTGAAAGAGATACACGTTACAAAGTTGACAACATAATATGCAATAAGGAGAAACAATTTGCATAGTAGAATTACTATTACTAGGAAAGTCAGTAAAAATTTGACACTTCAAAACATGGGCTTATTACATCTTATGTACATATGTATAAAATCAGCAATTTGTCTGATGGGAAGTAAATAATATTTTAATATGGTAACATTTTTAGAAGTAAATAATAAATAATAATATTTACAAATATTGATAAAGTATTAAATAAATAGAGATTATTGTCAATTAGAATGGTACTTGCATAAAATTTCGAAAGAGTTCTCACAATATAATTCACCAGAAAAAGTTTGTCCGAAATCAGTGACCCTACAGCTGCAATCTCTTCTCATATTCGTTACCAGTATTGACTGCTGTTGGTTATTATTAACCGATCTTCTCATAAGTACTTTCTCAATTTATTAACTTTATTATACTTGCAATTTTTTCTAAAAAAAAAAGGGGTAAAAAAGGCTATTCAGTAAAATATTTGGTTTATTGAGCATGATAATTAAATATCATAAAAATTATTAAATTTCTTAGAATAAACGTGATTTTTCGAATATGTAACGTATATGTATTTGTTTCTGAATTTTACTAAACTGCTACATCTTGGACATAAAAGTTTATTTAATCTTAAAAAATATTTATATACATATATTGCAATATTTGTATTTCCAAAATTCACATGATTATTAAGAAATCTAAATATTAAAAGAAAAACATGACGCTTATGTATTGTTCATCACAATTTAACTGTGTTTAAAAACACTTTGATTTTAAGATTTACTAATTCTATAATCTTTTGCTTTCTATATTAAAACTAAATATACTATCGTTTTCATCGTTTGTAATCACTATAAAACATTCAATTCTACTTGTGATGTTATCTCACTTACAAGAAGAAAGAAGAATAAAACGAATAAAAAGAGAAGGAAGACACAAATCGTTCCCTTAATTATAAAAGAGTTTTCTGCACTTGCCACTTTTACTCCATACAAATGCAATTACATTCGTTAAGGATTAATATCTACATAAATATACTACGAACATTTCATACACGCACATTAGTGAGGTGATTGCAATGATCATAATATTCGACGCACGCAAATCCCTTTTGTTATTAAACACAATTGTACATTCCTTTGAAGTATAATCAAAGGTGAAACTTACACACTTGCATGAACAGTATACAGTTATTATATGTACAACCACCTTTGAATTTGGATTGATCGAAATCAACATTATCGCTATTGTGATGCATGAAGGAAAACAAGGACAACACTATCGTATCTTTAATTCTTTGCAATTTTCCACTAGTTTCACCAATGTTGCATGTTGCTCGAAGAAGAAAACGGAAATTGAATTAGGAAACTTCGGCTATGTTGCGAAAGATTTAGAGAAAATTTTGTTAGAAACGAATATGTACAAAATACTTTCACGAATACACAATTTGAAAGTTAATAGGAAAATTGCAAAGAATACTTCTGAAAACTTTATCGAAGTTACAGTATAAGTTGTATTCAATTGTTTTTAAAAACACTTTTGAAAATTATTATGCAATTTATATTATTATGCAGTAATACATATTTCACTTTCATTAAAACCATAAATTAATTTATGTCTGACAAATCATATAAAATTATTTCATACGTAGATACAAATTGTACAATCTATTGTCAAATTCTATTGTCTTGTAGACATTGAGAGCAGAGCCTTTAAAAATCCAATTCATATTGAAACTTATAACTTCTTTGTACAGGAACTTGTTGCACAGCTTCTTTTATGTAAGAGCTATCATACAATGAACGTGAATTACGAGCTAATAGATGCCAATGTTATTCGTGATGCTCCATGTCGACAGACCGGAAGTAATAACATCTAATTAGTCGACTGCTCATAACATTCAATTGTTTCTCACTATAACATATAATAGTTTCTCAGAGTTTGTTTCACCATAAGTGCATCTATTCATTCAAATGAAGGAGCATTACCCATACTCCATTTGCTCCAAAAACTAATCAGTTTGTACAATCTCATTCTAAATGAGATCTCGAAAATATTGAAAAATAGATTTATCACTGAATTAAATAGGCAATTACATTAACAAACTATAGTTTGGAAAATGTTAACATGCTGGCGCTTTATATCTCTTAAGAAACAAACAACTGAACAAGCATTTTGTGTAATTCCAATACCTTCATAACTGGTTCTCAACTCAATTTCTGATTTGTTAAAATTGTAAAACTAAAACATTTTATGTTTTTTCTTAACACTGAGTACGAACATGGAGGAATGGACATTTCAGGCAGTGTGGAACACTTCTCGTTGCACATTCAATGACATGGTTTCTTTCAATTAATCGCTTAGAAAAATACAGGTTGTGAGATTGATTGCAAAAATCTGATTGGCCTGAGCAATGTTAAATTAAATACTAGTAAATGATCGTCACAAAGTAATAAGCTCGACAGATGATTAATTATTAAATGGAATACAAAAGATATTTGACAATGATGTTCAATGATGAAAATAATCTGGGACACTTGTTGCTCTCAACTTTGATAAATATATTGGACAGAATCTTTCTTGTTATCGAACAAGAAGTGCACCTTTCTTTAATTAACTAGTTTGTCGTTTTTCTTATCATTTCTTCGAGGTAGATGTAAATATTTGTGCCGTCACCTTTGCAAAGCAATTTTCTTTGCATTTTAAAGCTTTAAAATTACTAATTACCTTTACTACTTTATTAGTATATCAGTATCATTTAAGGCGAAGAAGAAAAACTGTTTATAAATATATTTATTTAAAAATGTGCTCTCATCTTTCAGTTATCGATTAAAAATAAGAAATATGTGTTCCTTATGTTCTGAAAATTCTCAGATAAATCACAATTATCTATGCTTCACTTACATATGCAGATATGATAATTGTGTTCAGCTTTGATTAATTCAATAAAATGCACTCTTGCTCGAAGAACGTACACAACGCTGCAATTCCAGAGACATTTCGGTCTCGTGTGCTTGAGAATTTTATTCGAAGGTCAGGACTAAATCGTCTCCTTCTAATCTCATTCCTTGAGTGACTTCGAGCGTCTTAACCTTTCCTGCCTTTGGCGCCTGCACCACCATTTCCATCTTCATCGCCGATAACACGACTAACGGCGCTCCTTTCTCGACAGTGTCGCCAACTTTTACCCTGACGTCGATTACGGTACCAGGCATAGGTGCCCCAACTTGATTTTTATCTCCCTTGGCAGCTTTCGGGTGCACGTGAAGTTCCTATTTAACAAAGAAATATAGCTTAACAAACATTTTCATTTTCTAACGATACGTTTCTTCTTATTACAAATTATGAACATAATTTAAAATATAAGTAACGCATGACGTTTCCAGTATACACATAAGTTTAGAATAAATCGTTGCATTCGATACAGCACTTGGTCTGTGAAAGAATGTTCTGCGTTTACGCATACAAGTTGAATATTACGTATAAAGTATGCTGTGCAAAAAAGCAATTGTTATATCGTGTATCAGTTGTTTAAGTGATTCTTCGATATAACGAATAATACAAACATATTACAATCTATAAATTACGTGATTCGTCGTATACTTTTTATATTGTGTACGTCATCATAGTCCTATTATCTATAAAGGTAGTTTAATAACGTAGTAATTTTAAAGAATTTTTTGTCAATCAATAAATTTCAATGAATGACATATTACAAGTAAACTTCATGACTATATCATGGCACAGGTTTATCATCAAACTCAACGCAAATGCCTCTTTTTTTTCTCGATTACAGTAGAAAAGAAAAACCACAATCTTCAAATTACCTTAACAGCTTCCTTGTCCTTAATGAACACAGATCTGAGTTGCCCGTTCATTTCGAAGAACACTTCGCGCTCTCCGTTTTTAGTGAGATCTTCAGCAACAGCCAAAGTCTTAATGGCCAACGTTTTACCTTTTTCGATCGTTACATCGAATTCTTCCCCGACCTTCGGTCCTGTTAAGAACATCCTGGTTTCTAATTTGTCCACTGGACCGAACTCGTCTTTGAAGTTCAAATAATCGTTCGTGACTTGTGGATAGAGAGCGGCTGACATGATATCCTTATTCGTGACGTGAGGATGAGATTCTTGTAGCTGAGATTTCAACGCGCCGAAATCCAACGGTGGAAGACTCGCGCCTGGCCTTCCCTTTACGCGCGGCATGTCTTTCAGTACCTTCGACCTGTAAAACGAAGTTATATTGAAACAAAATCTATTTAATTTAGGAAGTTTAAGATTCGTCTATGTATATTCTTTAATTTCAATTTCAAAAAGGCTTGTTTGATACATTTTATCAAGATTTTAGATGCCGTCTTATAGCACAATAAGCTTTTCATTGGTTTAAAAATGAACAGTTTTTCATTTATCACTTAAAAAACCAGAAAGATGTGCTGATTTTAATATATAGCTGCTCAATAGCAGGAAACGTTTGGTCGTTAAAATGTAACACTACCAAGAGTTCCATTTTCATTAGAATTATGTTAGTAAATTGTATTAGCAAAAATATGGTACTTTAAAAAGGTGAAATGCAACGGTGTTTTTGAAAATAACAATAATTTTATCCTAGATTTTACGGTGTACATTTTAGAAACAAAGATCTAATTTTAAGCTAAATGACCTTTTTTTGGTCAGTATAATAGACTGAAAAAATATGGTATACAGATTCAATCAATACAAATGAAAGTGTTGTAAATAAAATGTTTGTAATAATTACTATTATGTTACTTCGAAAATTAGAAAGAGACATATTTCAGACAGCAGAGATCTATCCCAGAAAAGAGAAAATGATGGATTGAAAATGAAAAATATATTTTATACTTATGTCATTATTGTGCCAGGAATTATGTGTAACAATAAACGTACCTAAGAGGTTCCGGGAATCCTCCATGAGGTTCACCAATAGCACCTTGTA